GGCTCTCCTTTCACTGATGAACTTACCTAGTGAAAACCTAAGAAAGCCCCCAGTATGGCTTTCTACTTCTGAACTGAGACTTCAAACTATTCAGGGCAAAGTTTCTTCTCAGTCAAAACCATAAAATGCTGCATGCTTCAGGAGGAAAGAAACGTGGCGTCATCAAGTAGTCCAGATGATGGAAAACTATGCAAACAATTTCTTTCAGAGTATATTGCAGAAAGCTCTGCCTGCATTTGTACCTGTTCTGCTATGTGCATGGCCAGGCTAGAAGCTTTGCCTCCATTAATGACAACCCAAATAGGACATGGAATCCACTGAAACACCGAGCTCCAGTTTTGGAGGTTCTGGGCAATGTCCCAAACTTCTCAGTAAGTGCCTTTCCCAGTTTGGAAGAAAACCCTTATGTTCCTACAAACCTAGAGAAATTCTCTGATCCCCAACCTCTGTACCAAAACAGGGGCTCAATTGGATGAGTCTCAGTGGGTGATGGGATGTGTCTATTCCAGCATCCCACCAAAATCCTTCCCCTTGAGGGCCCATGCAGTTTCAGGCCAGGCAGGTCTGCCAGAACTTCCCTTTGTCAAAGCCTCTTCAAGGTGCACACACTAATTTAATCCCTTCTCTTGAGAAATGGTTTCATTAAAAACACCCAAAATGAAGGTTTTTACTACAGGCTCAGCCTTGTCAGGTATTAAACACCTCTTCCTTGCTTGATGACCATCAAGTGATAGCCCTGGAAGCCAAAAACCCATCTCCACCCTGTGGCAAGGTGAGCAGGAAGCCCGGAATGAACCAGCCCTAGTTCATTTACAACGCCTTACAGGTCAGTGAAGTTTCACTTGCAGGAAAACTGTATCAAAGCAGAATTTCCTATCAATAGGGCACAACCCCAATAGTCAAGAATCAATAGATCAGCTTCCCCTTCTTGTTAGGATACCAGCTCAGTGCCACTGAATGAAACATTTCCTTTAAACTTGACTCCAACTCCTCTGCTGACAAACATCTGCACACACACACCAGTAAGAGGAATAGTAATTATTTCCCCAGAGAAAAACAATTTTGCTATAAATCTCAGAAGCAGCTTGATTTAACAAATTAAGCTAAGAGCTAAGGACGCTAAATGCAGTTAACTTCTTTGAAGCTAGTGGAATAAGAAATTACTTGCAACACTCCTTTAAACACTTTCACTTTTGAAAGGATGAATACAGAGCTCTTGACAAAACTCCTGGCTTGGGTTTTCAGAGGGTCAAGAAATTAAAACTGACTCTAGAGAAACATCTTTCCAACTAATAAATCACAAGTGCATTTCTCTTCCTAACACTTCTTAGAATTTCCTGCATGAATTAATAGATAGAACTAGAATAGAAAATATCAACAGAAGCATCCCATTCAGAGCATTTGAACTTTTGCATTCATTATTCAAACTTTGGGGTTTTTCCACGTATTAAATGACATTTTTCATTTCTTTCTATTACTTGGCATAGGGAGGTTCTTGTTGTTTTATAACTACCTTATGAAAGACAACAAACTGCTAAAAAAGGGGAAAAGGTACAGTTTTCCTTAAGGAAAACAGCAGGACAGTCCTGCTGTCATACAGCCTGGACATTACAACTGTTCAAGGATTTCTGTGCAGCTGAGGGCTTCTGCTCAAATGTCTTTTTCCCCGTTCTTTTGGTGACATAGGGAGGAACATATAAAACTCCTAAAAGATCCTTTCCTCTGTGAATTGTTCCTTCTCCCTCTGCTGTGATAAATGCCATCTCAGAGATGGTGACACACATAAACTATGAGGATTTATAGCACATTTCCAACACTAATATTAAACACATCCTTTAAACTTCTTCTTTGGAAAGACTTCGATTTTTTTCCCTCCTTTACTATCATTTAATAGCTGTTAAGTCACCTTCAAAGCATTTGTAAAACCTTTGAAGTACCATACAAAAAATAGACTCCAACATCGTCCCAACAATTGCAGGTAATGTGCAGATATTGTTGAAGGCACACAGAAATGGAGCTTTCTAATGCCAAGTTACCACCTCCCACTCCACAGCCTTACTCCTGCCAACGTCAATTTTGCAAACATGCTTTTGTTCCATTCCCTTACACTACTGAAGCATTGGGGATTAATGACACAGACCAAGTTACCACCTCCCACTCCACAGCCTTCCCCCCCACCCCCCGCCTTTTTAGATAAGTTACATATATTTTATTTTTAGAAAGGATACTCTTCTCCAATTCCTTTGCAGCAGGGCTTGGGTTTGTGACTTCTTGCTTTCCCTCCATGAGGACAAGGGATAACTTTGCTGCCTAATTTTTTACTTCAAATCTCATTTGGCCAGCAATACGGAGGATTACTGCCTACCTGTCTTAGATTTTTCTGTTCTGTTACCATATGTCCATGGACTGCCAAGAGTAAACCTTTAGGAAAAGCTTAGGAAATTTTTAGAACAAAGATCTCCAATTTTAACTCACTCCAAACTCTCTTAACATACATGTGGCCCATGTGGTTCTCATTTGGCCAGCAAGACGGAGGATTACTGCCTACCTGTCTTAGATTTTTCTTCTGTTACCATATGTCCATGGATTGCCAAGAATAAACCTTTAGGAAAAGCTTAGGAAATTTTTAGAACAAAGATCTCCAATTTTAACTCACTCCAAACTCTCTTAACATACATGTGGCCAAGAGATGCTATTGCCCAACCACATGAAAACAAAGACTTTTAGCATATGAAAAAATAATTATCTTTATTTTAAAAGTTCAGAGTGCAGAAGTTCTGCATAATCATAACATTTTCTGAATCTTGCTAGTGGCCCAAAGGTTAAGTACTTTTCTTTGCTAGCATAGACCACATAATTGAGAGGAAGCAAGTGAGTTTATTCTTTGAAAGGCCATTAAAAAAAAACCAAAAGACCACCACAAGTTTATTTGTACTTGCAAATCCTTTCAGGTCTAAAGAAAGATAATAATTTGGTTTCGCTGAAAACAGGAAGTTTGGCAGAGATGCAAAAGGACAGCTAAACTTTGGCTAGACAGCGTAAAACCCTGTGTTCTACTTTAAGAGTACTTCCAAAATTTAAAATAAACAAATAAATAAATAAATAAAATAAAGAAAACCGAAGTGCCTCAATTCCATAGACAGCTAAATGAACAACATAGGCATCTGGCAGTGGTAATTTGTTGCCAGATTTGTGGTTGTCTTGTGCTGGCTTCCAGTCTGGTTTGCCAGTTTGCAGTAACTTCCATCAAGTGCAGCTGAAACCCATATTTATAAAGCCTCAAATGCTGTCAAAGCTAGATAAGTCTCAAGTAGTCTTTTCTTTTTTCTTTTTTTTTAACTTTTTTAATTTTTTTTTATTTTTTAATCTGACCAAGACCAAAGGAATAAATAAATAAACACCATTCACAACATTCTGGTATATAAAGGGAGACAAGATAATTTTTGGTCTCAGGACTAAGTCCCCATCAGGTTTTTTCCATGTAGAACTCAACAGGGCAACACAACACCCCCCTGCTCTGCCACATTATTGTCACTCCTACCCCATCATCAGGCCACCAGCAGGACCTTCTGACAGGAGAAATCATCTTTCAGCACAAGAGCAACTCCAAGAAATGTGTGAAGTGCGGGATCTTTAAGAAAAGTGTCTGTTCAAAACAGATCCATTACACAACTAGAAATTAGCACAGACTCCAGCCCTTAGAGGGATTTTGATTAGCTTCTAGGACACGACCACTAGCCAAAGCCTGTGAACAAAGCCAGGCTCAGAGCAGGCTCCAGCACTGCCCTCTTTTTGTTGCTTTAGTGGCACTTTCTGGCCCCCTTCTAGCCTGGGTGGATTGGCTCCCTCCTCACCAAGGACCAAGTGGAGTTCAGGGCCTGCCACAGGACAGGGTTTGCTCCTAGGAAGCCAATCGAGCATTGCTGATTTCTTGTGGGAGGTGAAGATTTCAGACTACAAGTACCATGATATTTGCTCAAAATAACGGAGAACAAATCCACAACACAATTTCAGAAAAGGATTCAAAGGGTCCCTCTCAATTCAATACTCATACGAATGCATTCATGTGAGGAAGGGAATCTTAAATACATTAACTTTGTTTTTTGGGTTAGAACTTCCCATGATTAATCTGAGACCTCCCTCCAAAATGCTGGGGGTTTTTTCCACCCTCTTTTTTTCTTTCTTTTCTCCCTCCCCACTCACACTTATTATGAAAATGCAGATCCTCAAAGCATCTATCACAAAGCATCACTGAATCCTTTGGGGCAACCAAAATATAAATATAAACAACAGCATAAATATTATCTTCTGAAACACACAACCCTGAAATTCAATGGTCATAGACCAATCTTTTTTTCCACTACTATTGTTATGCAGTCTTAACACCCAACTTAAAACAAGAGATCCTCTTCACTCTATCTGGGTTTTTTTATTCTTGAATCATGAGCTCATAACAAAGTCCAAAAATAGAGCATGCAAGAACATGAGCTCAGATCTTCAAACTTTTTTCCTTAGTACAATTACTAGCCTAATTTAAGTGCAGAATCCCTCACACCTGCAGGAGCACAGTCAAGACAAAAGCAACGCACTGGTATACTGTGAAGATGGAACATGCAGAAAGCTTGAAAGATCCGGAGAAGTTTTAATAAGTACCAAGAATAGCAAAAAGGGGGGTGGGGGGGGAACCAAATCAGCAAACCCTTATTTTTGTTTTTACAGTGTTCACTAAGGGACTCTTAAAAAATCAAGCTTTTAGATGAACTTCAGCAAAAACCCTGATATTCTCAGTCCCTCTGGAAACCTAGACCATGTATTTTATATTAAGCCCTCCCAGCATCTGCTCTTTAATAGTTGCAACAGTGATGATATCAACAACACCCACACCTTAGAACACAGCACTTTTCATCTGCTGGAAACATAACACTTCCCAAAGGAGGCAGAGCATTATCATTCCTTGTTTAGAAAGAGAAATTCAGCTATGGAGAAATGAAACCACTTACCCAGGACCATTCAGCTGGAGCAGCAGCAGAGCCAGGTGAAGAAGCCAGAGCCCCTCTGCAGATGTCCAGTGTAAGCCTTTAACACTCAGCACCCCACCTCCAACTTCAGCAGAGCAGGTAATGTTATACTCTCCTCCCCCACAGATCTGGGCTCAGCTTTAGGTACAATCTGGAAGCACTTCAAAAGCTGTGGGTTAAAAAGCCCTGTATAAATGCAAAGTGTGATTATAATTCAACCAATATTGGAAAAATTACAGCAGTTTATATTTGTTTTTCTGTATTTGTGGAATTTATGTTGTTTCAACACTTGAACAGCTTTTGATAATGACACCATCTGTTAATTCTCACCCCTCACTAAATTAGAACAAGTGGTGGAATTGTTAGACTGCAGTTTTACAGATCCCAGCTTATCAAACAAACCCGAGCCCAGGGTCAGTGAGAGGCATTACCAGCAACAGGAGGCAGCAACCAGGCAGGTACAATTTCCAGGCCAATCAGAAGAAAAGGATGGGATAATCAGGAACAGCACACCTCTCAGCAGCTCCTCTGGAGCAGTTTTTTGTTAGGCTGTGCTTCCTTTCCCAACCCTGCTGGGTGAACAGCATTTACTCCAAGGCTGCTCAGATTGGTGTAACAGCAGTGGGTGGGGTATTCCTGCCAGGACCCGAGACCACTGCCAAGGGGAACACACACCTGGGTACAAGTTAAACACTCTCCAATTGCAACAAGTGGGAAGAGCTTTGAATGGCTCTGTTAAATTAAAGTTGCCAGATTAGTGTCCAAACTGATGTAAATTGCTGAAATTTACACATTCTTTACCTGCAGAAATACCAGTTCAGAGCATGAGAAGGAGCACAGGCCTTGGTAATACGCTAGAAAGTAAAACTGAAGCTGATAACCAGCCTTTCAGCTACACTTGGCTTCCACCCACCCCCCCACCCCCTCCCCCCCATTTTCCCTAATTATTCATATCCTTCCCTCTGCTCTACAAAATGCTCTTCCTCTGTTTTCAGGTTATATGAGAATCTATTTAATACACTTGTATCTACAAAAGGGTCAGATTATGTCACATGCAGATCAAACAGTGAAAATACACATCTCCTGGTCTCTAGACTAATTTTGCATATGTTAAACACCCCTTCGTTCTTCTATGAACCTTTCAGTTCTCTCTTTTTGAACTTGTGTCCATAATTTCATTATTTTCTTAGATAGTGAACCAAATCCCCAGTAGCTGTAATCTTCTATTTCACAAAGACTTTTAGTAAATGGGATGGGCTTTTACTAATGACACAAGCATGATACATCACTACACAAGGAACAGGGAGTTTGCACATTTTATTTATGAATGTTCAGGACACAGCAATGGAAACCTCAGACCTTGTTATTCCTGGTAATACAGGAGTCAGGCACAGGACTGCAGTTACACCTGTCTAGGAAGAGCCTTGGTGTTCTTCAAATAAGGCACATTTGGTTTTCAGCAGCATGGTAGGTAATACCTAATTACCTCACACACCCAGGAATGAAACAGGTTTCCCACCTGCCATTAACACAATTCCCTGAAGCCTTTAGTGGGCTTCTACGAAATCTGCCCAGAGAAGTTGTGGATGCCCCATCTCTGGAGCAGTTCAAGTTCAGAATTTGTTTGGAGCTGTTGTTTGGAGCTCTGAGCAACCGGCTCTAGGGAAAGGGGTCAATGTATGAGACCACACTGAAAATGAACCTTCTGGTAACCCCAAGAATGGTAGGTCAAGAACCTCAGCCCAAAATGAAAAGGAACCTTCTGGTAGCCCCAAAAATGGTAGGTCAAGAACCTCAGCCCAAAAGGTGTTGATGCTGCTCTGATGGGGTAAGAATGATGTCTGAGGTGCAAAATCTGCCTGACAAAAACTGTTTGGTCCTCAGTTCCACTGATCGTGGAAGCAATATTGGGAGTACATAATAATCAGCTCACAGGGACCTAATCAGCCAAGGGACCTAAATTCATTTGTTGCTGTCATTAAGGGGTAATTATTCCTAGAAAAGAAAAAGAATGAGACATTTTCTGGGCATTATAGGCACACGGTTGACATCATTAGGAGCCAATCCAGACCCCTGAGTTCAGGCCAGCTTTCTAAAACCCTTTATGTCATTGTTTTACACAAGGTGTTTGATACCACTGCTGCCTTCTCAGATGTGATCTCATCCTTGACCCTGAGTGGCAGTTTTAGGAATAGCTCCCTCAGGTTTACTTTTATCAGATCATAAAGTGCATCATATTCCCTTGCCTATGAGATGTGCTAAGACTTGTATCATTTGTAACTGGAAATCCTATAAAGCTGCCTGACATTTTTTTGTCCACGAAAAATTGAAGTCAAAGTTGGAATGGATGAAAAAGTAGCTTCCAATATTAAAAAAGTGCTTGTTTGATAGAGAAAACTATAATCTGGTGCACTTTTCCATGAATACAGTAAGAGCTAAAATTTTTTGTAATGACAGCAGGGCTGTATCCCTTCTTGAAGTAATAAACACAAGGTCCTTGACTGACTTGCTCTGCCAATGTTACAAATATATGATATTTGATACATTAAATACATTCTACAGAGAAAGCAGAGTGGTGCACAAATATCCAGCATCACATCTTACAGCATCCCGTCAGGACTCTCGGAGTGATCCTCTATTTTGCAGATCTGCAGACGAAGTATGAGGGATTAAAAGACTTGCCCAAAGTCTCTGAGCAAGGCAGCTGCCCAGTCAGATTTTCACAGTGGAAGATAAGCACCATGCCAGCAAACAGCGTGACACTAAACAAGCAGCCAGGTTGGAGGATGTCAGCAAGAGGGGCCAGGAAGGCTTGAGTCACAGCTGGCATGGGTCAGCATGTAAGCTGAGGGGCAGAGAATAAGCTGAAGCTAAATATACTCCAACTCCTCGCAGACTCTGTGCTGGCAGTAGGCCAGGCTGCAGCAGGATGGCTGGGGTAGGTTTAAAGTGCTCTCCCCTGCCAGCTAGTCAGCCCTGCCTTAAATTAACCCAGCTGACTTTAGACTGAAACAGATGATGGTTCCTCATAAACTCAATTACACCAGCTCAGCCATGAGTGGAGAAGGCTCCAGATGAAATGTGGTGCTTTACCAGTATCTTGAATCTCCACTGCCTTCCCTGCAGTAACTGTTGACAGTGACTTAAATTCTTTAAATCCATCTGAAAGACAAAACTTCAGTTCAAGCAACATCACTTTCAGGGGCCTCTGCCTAAGGTTGCTGTATAGATGATGAAAGGAGGTTTCTGAGACTATTTCTCCACTGGATGTCAACATGTAGCAATGAATTCACTCAAGATGTTGCTGTGGATTTCTTTGCTGGTAGGGTCATCCATTTCTATGGACTCCTTTTATTACGGTCTCTGATCTTTCCAACTGCAAGAAACCACAATACTGCTTTACTGGAGACTTGTTTAAGTCTTGATATAAAATGATGCTCGTGTATACCCTTAACAATTCCATTGCAATCCAACCATTTTAGTGAGGGTAAGATAAAACCCTGGTGTCTGTAACAGTATGTATATTTGCACACATATAAATACAGTTTGACTGCTAAACTTACACGCTAAGCCTTCATTTTCTATAATAAAATATTTAAGTGGTTTCAACTCCACAGACGGATTTTTAAAACCCTGACATAGCAAAAGACATCAGTGCAGGACAGCATCCACTGGACACAATCAGTCACTCAAATGAGTAATAAAATGAGTGTCTTCATTATGGGCTGACAAGCACCAATACAGATTTTCCCAGAGAGAAATAACCTCAGTACTACCACCTCATGCCACCATAAAGAAAGCTCAAATCTTCATTTTAAGATGAATTTCTAATGCCTAGAATTTAAATACCAGAAAAGTCTGATAAAGAATTGTCTGAGGCTAAGCCAAAGCAGAGTAAATAGCAGGACTGTAGTAACACAGAAACTTGTGGAGGTTTTGGAGAGCAGTTTATCACTTCTCTGGAATTTAGTAAGAGCTAAATTTTGTGACACCTAATTTTTTTTTTCTGTGCTTCTTCAGAAATTAGGCTCTCCTGAAAAGTCACCTTTCAGGATGGTTTATCATAGCTAGGGCTGGACTAGTGGCAGGAGTTGCTTGAGCTGAGTCCTGGTAGTTCAAGTAGAAGCTCTCCCACTTGTCATCACAGAATATATGACCTTATTACTCCTCCCTCAGTTCTGGCACTGATTGTTGATGCTGTTTGCAGCCAGTGAAGTTTCCTCAGTGCTCTCTGCTGCCGTCTCTCCCAGCCCCTTCTGCTTCTGTTTTCCAATTACAGCAAAAAATATGTGAATCCAAATTTCTGCCAACACCTAGATGAACCAGCTCCAGAAAATAACATGGAAGATAGCAAATCAGGAAGATTTGTATTAAGAGTTATACTAATAGCTAAGAGTACATTGAAAATTGCAGGAATTTATCTGTATATCGATGACACAATGCCACTTCCTACTGTAGGACCTGAACAAATTAGCTACCAAAGTCCAGCCCTCAACAGCTCAGATTTATCTGAGATTTTATGGGCAGTGAGAATGAGAGTCAGTGACAGGACCAGGCCATGATTGTGAAGAAAGACCCAGTAGAAGCAGTAGACCCAGACCTGCTGGCTCACTTCCCTGGACATTTGACTTTCCACAAGCTTCCTGTTAGCCAGGGGTATTGCAGAGAGCTGGAGAACCTGATGGTTTTGGGCAAAGCTTTTCCACTGGCACTGAGCAGGTCACCAGGCAGGGCTGGAGAGATGTCAGGGCTGCAGCCGACTCCCCTCTGCCTGTGAGCAGCCCCTCTGTCAGAGCGTGAGCTCTCCCCTTGCTCGCTCACAGCCCTATCCAAAAGGCATTGTCTGGAAGCAATTATAGATTTTTAAAATTTTTTTTCTTTTTTTTCCATCGTTGCCTGACAACTTCAGCAGACACACATGTAGCCATCCCCCTACGCTTCTAAAGAACTTTGCTTACTGTTAACTATTTAAATGTTGAAAGTATTAAAGCTAATTGAACTCACTGCTCAGAGAACCAAGTCTGAGGTCAGCTGTCATAGACGGTAACACTGTTGTGGTAAAAGAACTTTGGGGTAGTTTAGAAATCTTTAGAAAAGCATTCGTGCCTGTCCACATACTTGTCAGTCCTACCTGTCACTGCTAATGTCAGGGGGTGTTTTAGGTTAGGGAAACAGATGGAGCTGCTCTGGGGAGCTCCTCCAGGAACTGCTGCAGTTAGTGCTGAACGTGATGACAGGAGATGATACTCAGCTGGCCAAATTTTAAGCACCTTGCTTCAGGTGCTTAACCTGGCAGGGTCTTAATGGTTCCAGTGAGGGCAAAGGGATGGCATTGGAAGTGGAGAATAAAACATAGTCTCTTCCACAGAGTAATTGAGATTC